CCCCCGGCTATGCTGCAGCAGTGGCGTGGATTACGCGTCGCAAGAACTTGTCTGACCACGCCCCGATGCTAGCTGCGCTAAGCGCTTCGCGACCGACGCCGATCGACGAGGGGCCGATGCCCGGGTGCATATTGGAAACCTGCCGCACTTCAAACGAACGATGGAAGCCAAACTCGGCTCGACCGATTGGAGCGATATGACGCCACCGTTCTAGCTGATACATTACAAGACGCTTCTTCGAGAAGTGCCAGAGTTGCTCGAAGCGATATTCGCGGGGGGGCAACTCCAAGTTGGCCTTGGTCTCCATCCTCCGCTCTGTAGGTCGCGCCGCGCGGCGTCGGGGCTCGCGCCCGGCCGCCGCCCAGCGTAGCGCGCGTGCTCTCGCTTGAGAACACTTCGGTCGCAACTTGACGGCGGGGGCCGTCTGGCCCATTCGCTCGGGCGGGCGCGCGGGAGAGAACGACCGCCTGGCGCGAGAGGGCCGCGAGGGGCAGCGACACACGTTGGAGGCCAGCGTCCAGGAGACCACCCGACAGAACAGCGGGTAGAAGCTGGAGCAGGGGCAGCGGCGGCTGCAACGACGGGGGCAACTCTGGGCACCGTTCGATCGTCGTCTTGCGTTCAGAGGCGCCGGGCGCCCAAGGGCCGGCGCCGCTGCGGGGCCCGACAAGATAACTGATTCATCGAGGCCTATTGCGTCACCGTCCTCAGCGACAAAAGTCCCCCGCGCGCCTCAGCGAAGGCCTGCGTCGGGAAATTCGCGGCTCATCTGAGTCTCTCAGACTTCCCGCTTCCGAACCGCAACGTGATTGAGAAGCAGATCTCTAGCGCGGCATGGTGAACTAGGCTTAGTCGCGTGGCCCTGCGCGGCGTGGCAGCACGCGCCGATGGCGGCGGGCACACTGGAGGAGGTGATGCTCCATGGATTTTGGAAGGTGAATATATTATGCGGGGCTTCAGCTAAATCAGAGGAGCATGATTCCGATGGGGGAGGAGGAGAACGACGCCATGGGCGCGTTTCGGGATCGCCCAGATCTTCGGCCTCTGGGACGCAAAAACTGCGATGTGAAACTCATCGCCGCCGCGCGCACCCGAGCTTTCATTGCGCGCCAGGACAAGGAGGGCCACGGCTGCCAGCGCGGCTTCGTCTTGGGCATGCAGTTCGGCGCGAACAGTATAGGGGTGGGCGCGGAGTCCCGCGCCGCGCCCACGCGGCCGTTCTCCCCCGCCAGCGCGCCCGCGCCCCTGGCGCGCAACGTTGCCTGATATTTCTCAGTTCCGAAACGTGCCGGGCTGCGTCTGGTCTTGGAGACGATTCAGATCCCCCTTGCTTTGGTTCACACATATCAGTTGTGCTCGGTGGCGATATCGCTAGACATCTCACCGAGGACCACGCGCATCTTCGACGGCGCGCAGAGACCGGCCCGCCTGCGCCTCCAGCTTGCCAAGTGCCAAGTGCCGCCAGTGGCTGAACCCATCGCCCCCGATCTGATCAGACAATGCCTTGAAAGGCTTGGTGCCCTAGTTCCTGAATTCTAGCAGTTTTCGATTGCGGAGACAGCGAAGCACTTGGGGACGTGGATTGGCCCGAAAGCAGGGGAGGCCCCGTGGGAGAGGCCGCTTGCGAAGTTGCGGGCGAGAGGCAGCGCGCTGGCGGTCAATTGCTTCCCGGCTTCGGCGTCGTCTCTTCTGTGCACCTCGCCCTGCGCCTGCCTTGCTTTGCGCGGCTCCATGTCTCCCCCTTCCAGGGCATGTAGGACGCGATGAACCAGCATGCCTGGCCCAGGTATTCCGCCCCCCACTCTGCGGATGGGCCGGGGCACCATTCGTCTCGTGGTCGAAGCGGGGCGGGTCCGAGATCCTGTGTTTTTTCGTGTTATGGCGATGGAAGCCTGGACTCGCGCAGTCTGCGGGATTTCCCATTGGGGACCCAGTCTGCGTCGGCTCGCGCGGCGACCGGATTTCATCGCGGGCGAGGGTTTCCCGCCGCTGGCCGTCTCTCTCCCGCATTATGGCCGCCCCCATGCCATCTGCCAACAGATGGGTGAAGCTAGGCGTGGACACCCCGAACGCCCCGTTCGCCCTCGTCTGGTCCAACAGCTGAGTGATTATGGAACCCTGAGGGCCGAGAGTAGCAAGCGTAATGCTTTCAAATTCCAGCTTTTTCAAACTTGAGAGTTCACTTTAACCTTGCACCCTGACCCTAACCATGCCCTCTCCGCCTCTCGGCGGCGTGCTTGGTTTTCTGGGTGCGGGCCTCGGCTGGCTCTGATTCCTTAGGGCGAGGTGCAGCGTGTTTCAGCCAAGCTGAAGCCAGCCCTGGCATCGACGTGGCTCCGAACTGTTTCTAAGACTTGGCCCGCGCAGCGCCGACTCCCAAAGTCGATGGCCGACGATGTTGTAAGTTAGGATGTTCCCGCGAATCTGGTGGCGAAGACCACATACACCATAATTGGTGTAGCATCATTTTCAATGCCCTCGTCGTCATGGGTCTTCGGTTTCGGGCGATTCCTGGGGACCCTCTGGACCGCTTGGGGGTGCTGGATCCGTTTTGCTGATCGGTTCAAATCCCGATCGTGCTGTATTTTGAATCTAATGCGATTCGAGCTAGAAGCTTGGCTTTGGGGCGCCCTCTCACACGAGAGGAGGCCCTCGAGTTCATTCCTGCCGTGGCCTGGGCCGTGAGGCGGTAGGGCGCAGGCGCAGGAAAATATTGAACGCTTCGGCCACGCGGCAGGAGGAGGAGGAGGGGGAGGAGGAGGAGGAGGACGAGGAGGAGGAGGAGGAGGAGGAGGAGGGGAACCCGAAGGAGGAAGAGGAGCGATAAGGCGGGATCAGAGATGAGGAAGAAGGAGGGTTGAGGAGGAACAGCAGGAGGAGAAGCAAAGATCAGGGACCGAGAGCTGGAGGAGGAGGAGGAGGAAAAGGAGGAGGAGGACCAATGCAGACCCAAGAGTCATCAATGATGTTGGGATAAACTTTCCCTCCAAGCTCTCTAGGCCCCTACAAGGGTTCATTTCCACTGAGGGAGCTGCCTCGTTTCAAAGCAACCGTTTGAAGACCCTGAAGCATGACAAAACATGACTCCTGGGATTACAACGCAGCATATCAGCTTGATTGTTGCGTCTTGTCGATCCTGAATTTTGCCAGAACGCCATTCTTGGGACTTCAACACCGCGAGCCAATGTAATCGTTGCACCCTTATAATCCGGAGCTTTTCCAAAATGCCATTTCTGGTACGCGGATAATGGGAACAGGTGAAGGTTTGCAATCTTTTATAAAGCGAATGCGCGCGGCGCTAAGGCGAGAACCACATTTTGAAAACCACCCGCCGTCAACCCGTGAAGCTTTAGCACATGTTTTAAAACGAATGTGCGCAGCGCTGAGGCTAGAGCCACATTTTGAAAACCACCCGCCCTCTATCCATGAATCTCCTAAAAATTGCATAGGCGATTGCGCAAGGCGCTAAGGCGAGAACCACTTTTCGAAAAAGACCCGCTCTCAATCCGTGCAGCTCTTGCAAATTTGCAAAGCGAATGTTCGCAGCGCTAAGGCGATAGCCACATTAAAAAAACCACCGGCCCTCCATTTGTGAAATTGCTGCCAATGTTTAAGTTTCAGGGTCATAAATGGTGAGGAAGTCTCAGGCGAAACGCCCGGTCCACTCTAAAATGGCCTCGGGGTGCGACAGGGATAAGTTATGCAGAAGGAAAGGGAATGGAGGAGGAGGAGGAGGAGGCGGAGGGTGAGGAGGAGGAGGAGGAGGAGGAGGAGGAGGAGGAGGAGGAGGAGGAGGAGGAGGAGGAGGAGGAGGAGTGGGAGGAGGGGGAGGAGGAGGAGGAGGAGGAGGGATGGGGAGGGGGCACGTATGCTGCCTTTTGGGGGGCGTCCGGAGCTCGAGAGACTTCAGGAGGAGGACGGGCGAGCGGGAGCGGAAGAGGACGATGGTGGAACAGGAAGGAGGAGGGCATGATGAGGAGGAGAAATGAGGAATATAGGGAGGATGAGGTGAGGGGGGGAGCAAGAACAGAAGGAGGAGGAAGAGGAGGAGGAGGAGGAGGTGGAGGAGGAGGAGGAGAAGCTATTCGCCATCCCCGCAGAGGTTAAAGTTGAGCTCGCCAGGCTCGACACCTTCGATTTCAAGATTTGTGAGCATCTGCTAATTGTAAAGCTGATCGGGGTCAAAAAGATGGCCGATGCAGCCCTAGGCTTTCGTGCTCCCGCTCTCGCTGAGCGCGCAACGGCCTCCCGACCAACTCACCCCTACCGGCACCCCCCCTTCTCGGGGGGCAGTCTGAGGTGCCCCGTCTGTCTCTCATCTCCCACTCGGGCCTTGTCGAAGCTCGAGTGGCCTCGCTTCCCTTGCAGGGGTCCCCGTGGCAGATTCACTGTTTCCCACCATCTCCGCAGTGCTCGCGGGCTGTGGTGGTGCACGACGTGTGGAGGGTCAGGCTCCAACAAGTTCCCGACCCTGAGTGGGCCCTGCACCAGGCCCACCTGCGCGGGTGAAGCGGCGTTTTCCCGCCTTTGAGCAACGAGTTCCCTCCCAAGCGGGCCTCCTGGCCCGATGCGACCAGAGATGGTTGTACGCCGTCTCTTTCTTTTGGGGCCCCTTCGCCAGTGGAGGAACCCGGGAACCCGCTCCCGATGAGCGCTTCAGGAGGAGTCGGAGTCGGAGGAGGTGGAGGTGGAGGAGGAGAAGAAGGAGGAGGAGGACGAGGAGGAGGATGAAGAGGAGTGAGAAGCTCAAGTCGCCAAGTGAAGGACCAAGCAAGCTAGGACCTAGCTAGGAAACCAGGCGCCAAGATCTGGGGCCAAGCAAGCTAGGACCAAGATCTGGGGCGCCGCTCGGCTCGAGGCGATGGCGGGTCTGGAGGGGGCGGAGGGGGAGGCGACTGGGTAGTGGAGAGGGGGCTGTCCTCTCTCCCCCGCTTCAATTTTCTGCTGTCTCCTCCCTCCCCCCCTCCCTCACTCCTCCCTGGTCCCCCGCAACCGTGTCGGGCCAAAGTCGTCCTGGCTTACAGCTTGTCGCCAGTTTCCTGACCTCCCTTCACAGCCTGGCCGGTGGGCTGGTACTACATTTAGGTCGGGCACGTCCCTCTACAGGGGGGAATATTCAAAAATAGTCTAACAGTAGTCTGGGGACGATTGGTTTACCATTTTGGAGCATTCTTGGAGCATTTTGGGGGTATGTTTAAGTCTTCGTCCAAAATCGGCCTGTAGGGGGACAGGCCCGACTTAAGACTACATACATTCCGCGCACCACAGACTCGGCGATGTCGGCGAGGGCACTCCTCGTGCTGCTGGCCCTGGCGCCTGTTGCCTGCTCCCTGTCGCTCCACAGGGCGGAGGCCTCGGAGGGCGCCAAGTGTACACCGCCACCTGCTCTGGCCGCGGCAGCGCGCGGCCCTGGAGGAGAAGAAACACACAGACACAATTAATCGTCGATTCCCCGGAGAATGTAGAAAAATATGGGAAGCGGGGGGGAGACAAAACCCAGAAAATATGAGAAAACATGGGGAATCCGGTTACTTGTGTCTATTTATTTGTGTGTCCCAGGGCCCCTTCACTGGTGGCATGCGCCTTCCTGGCTGCCCAGATCCTGGCCCCACGATCTGCGACCACTTGCGAACCCTACCCCTGCGGGTCCACTCGACGCAGCGTGATGGACACCCCCGCTCGGGTTCACGTGGCTGTAAACATCCCTCGAATTCTGGACTCCAGCCAGCGTTTCAGAAGCCAGACCTTCATTGTTCTGGGTCGACGTGAGGTTGCCTGCATGAGTGGTGTGCACGCTCTCCTGGCCAAGGCATGTGGGCGTGCAGCGTTTCCTCCTTCGACGCTGGGCTTCGCTGGGTGGCAGACGGAGTGTGCACCGATCCCGGAGGCCAGGATTGCCCTGGCCAGCACCGGTGGTGTATGTGGTAGGTCCGCGCCGCGTTCACGCGGCCGGCGGGTGTTCCAGGTTGAACGCCGCCAGTGGGCTGGAATCGGCCGATATCGAACGATACGCGCTGTTAAGAACCACGATTGTTCAAGGCTCAAAGAATCACGCGGTATCTGAAGTCAATAAAAAAAAAAACGCCGTCGCTGTCGCGACGTGAGGCCGCCCTACCCAGACTCCTGACCTCTAGATTTCTGTGACATCGTGGTCCCCCGGAGGTCTCGACCCCTTCCAGCGGCTGCCGTCGCATCCCGAGCTTTTATTTGGCCGCCCTGGGGCCCAGCAAGGGAAACTGGAGGCCGAGGACGACGAGCGCAAAAGACGCCGCCGCGATTCTGCTCGCTGCGCGGGGAGGTCGGGGTCGTGGGCGCCGCCCCGCGAGGAGGCGGCGGGCGACATGATGTTCGCCCTGTCGTCCGAGGGCGCCTCGAAGGCCGAGGCCGAGGCGGGGGCCGGGGACGTGCTGGCCGCCCTGTCGTCCGTCTCCGAGGCGCAGGAGGCGACGGCCCCGCGGCGGCGACGACGAGCGACGACGAGCCAGACCTCCGGCGAGCCAACGCGTTCGGCCTCCAGGGCCCTTGGCATCGCTCGGACGCGTGCATCTCTTCGCGGCGGGGACCATGGAGGACCATCCTGGACCATCGAGCAAGCAAAAAGAACACGCACGAGGCCGAAGAACGCGCGGGAAATGGACGTCCGAGCGACGGCAAGGGCCCGTCCTTGGGCCCTGGGACCAGCGAAGCGGTTCTGGGGCGGAGAGCCGGCCCAAGGGATGGGGTTGGGACTTCTTTGGCCGAAGAGCACCGCCCGAGTGTCACGGAGTGGGTGCGGGGCACGTTTTGCGAGAGCCTCGGGACGGATGTGGGTCCGTATCCGTTTTGGCTCAAGCGGGATTGCTGGCGCAGCAGAGAGAGAACGGGGTCTGGACGCGCCGCATCGCCAATGCATCGGCGATGCGGCTTGATGTGGGGCCCGATTTTCTCCACGCCGACTTCGCCGATGCATCGCCGGTGTCGCCGATGGATCGCCGATGCATCGAGGATGCGGAGCGATCCTCCGACGCCATCTGCTTGGACCCCATCTGGGAGGCCTCGATGGAGGCTCTCCCGGCTTCGCGGCGGCCTTCTCGGCAGTTCCCCGGGCCTTCCAGGAAGGCCCCTTGCCCTCGAAGGGCCCTCCCCCCCACGCCTTCGTCGACGCTCGCACGCCCCCGCGCACCACCCTCCCTGGTGCGCACCGCCAAGCAGGAGCGCACAAGCGCACGACGGCGGCGGCGGCGAGTTGCCGCCGCGGGATCGATATGGTCCTCAGGACGCGCGTTGGCTTAAGTCGGGCATGTCCCTCTACAGGAGAAGTATTCAAGAAACATAGTCTGGGGACGATTTGTCGTGCTCGTTCCATTACTATTATTATTGTTGTTGTTATTATTACTACTACTACTACTACTACTACTACTACTACTACTACTTCTACTACTACTACTACTACTACTAATACTAATACTACTACTACTACTACTACTACTACTACTACTACTACTACTACTACTACTACTACTACTACTACTACTACTACTACTACTACTACTACTACTACTACTACTACTACAATTCGTATTATTATTATTGTTATTATTACTGTTATTTATTATTATTATTATTATTCGTAGTAGTTAGTTTGATTGGTTTTGCTTCCAAAATCCGCCTGTCGGAGGACATGCCCAACCTAAGCGTTGGCCCAAGCTTGCGTGCACCCTGCGCGGCTCCGCCGAGGGCGCGCCGCCCGTGTCGGCCCTCGCCGCGCCGCCGTGGGAATGCTCCGCCCAGGAATCGCCTCCGAGCCATCCGTTAGACCCCCTCGCGTTGCGCTGCGTTGCGCCCGATCGAACAAGTCGGCCCTGTGCAGAGCTCGGGAGAAAGAACAAAAATGCGCCGTCAGAGCTGCACGTCGTCAAACCAACGACGCCGCGACCGGCCTCTGGCACGATGCGGCCGGCTGTTGTTCAGCGCCGCACATGCAGTAGGGGACCATTCGTGCGCTAGTTTAGGCAGCGACGGAGCATGGTGGCTTCTTGCGCTTTGATACAACCGAAGACCTATCTGCAATGTAGTGCAGGCGCCTGGCAGATTCGAGCCTCTGCTTCATTCTGCGGCCAGCATCTTCCCACGAATCGCTATCGTCGAACACCCAGCCGACGATTCGCCGGAGCATTTTTCTCTGCGTAATGTCAGGTGGTCCAGCTGCTTCTGATCCAACGCACAAGTTTCCAGCCCGTATACCAACGTAGGTGTAACGGTCGCGTTGAAGAGCTTCAGACGCAGCTTGACGTTGACGTGCCTATCCGTCAGCGAAGTTTGCAGAGAACGGAATTTCAACCATGCACAGCAAACGCGATGGTCGATAGCAGCCTGTCCGCGTTGTCGGAGGTTGCCCGGCCACGCCCTCCCGAGGTATTTGTGGGTTCTGTTAGCAGCCACAAGCTCCACGAACCCATCGGCAGTTTCGATCAGAACAGTGTCATTCTCCGCGTTGTGACAAAAATCACGACGGGAGGGTTTTCGCTATTTTCGGCCTCTGGGGGCCTTGTACCAGGCCTCGGGACAGTCAAAAAACGATTCAGAACGAAAAACCGGTCCCAGGGAATGGGTCGGGACCTTTGGGGGTCGCGTCATGAAAAAATCATGACGTCGGCGGTCTGGGGACGGGGGTAAATGCAAACGAGGGTCAGCCAGAGCGCCGGATTTTGCAGGATCCTGTAGGGCCAGGGTCGCATGGACCCGGGCTTGGGTGCATGATCCTGCAGGATCCTGCAGGCTCCTGCAGGGCCAGAGTCGCGCTGACCCGGGCTTGGGTGCAGGATCCTGCAGGATCTTGCAGGATTCTGCAAGGCATGACTGACCCGGGTTTGGATTGACCTGGATCAGCAGATCCCCGAAGCCTGAATTTAATTTCGAGGTGGGTGCTTATACATCACCACCGCCTGGAGGATGGATTCTCGGAGAGCTCGACAGGTGGTGGGTATGGACGTATTCGGGTCCCCTGGGGCCCAGATATATCCATATCCACCGCCAGCCGGGGTCCTGGGACGTCGGTTCCACAGGCGGTGGATATGGACTGATCCCCTCCTCGCATGAATCGGCCTCAGCCGCGAAACCAGGCATTTTCGCCTCGATACGCGGAATTCGCCTCGAAGTCCCGAGTTCCGCAGGTGCGCGAGACCAGGAATTCCGATGGGTCAAACCAGTAATTCGCATTTACAGATCTCCTTGTCACTTGTCGTTATTCCTCTTTCGCCTCCTCCTCCTCCTCCTCCTCCTCTTCCTCTTTCGCCTCCTCCTCCGCCTTCCTCTTTCGCCTACTCCTCTTCCTCTTTCGCCTCCTCCTCTTCCTCTTTCGCCTCCTCCTCTTTCGCCTCCTTGTCCTCCTCCTCCTCCTCCGTCCTTTTCACTTGTCCTTCTCCTTTCTGTCATTGCTCTCCGCGACCCCTCGACGACGACGACGACGGCGGCGACGACGCCGTCGACTTCGACGTCGGCGAAAGACGTTAATGTCGGGTCCTGCCACCCGGAGCAGTTCTTCATCAGGAGATGAGCCGGTTTTTTGGCCGTCCCGGGGTTCGCCGCGGGCCCTTGGAGAACGAACCTGTCCTGGACGTTCACGTCGTTATGTTGGCAGCGGCGGCGACCACGACGATCCCCTCGGCGACGGCGACGATGGCAACCACGCCGTCGACTTGGGAGCTCAACGGTTTCTTGATGGTACAGGGGCCCGCCGGGGGCGGGGAAAAAATGCAGGAGGGGAAGAACACACAGACACAATTAATCTACGATTCCCCAGAAAATATAGGAAAATATGGGAAGTGGAGGAGAAGACGAAAACCCTGACAATAGGGGGAAATATGGGGAATCCTTTTATTTGTGTGTATTTATTTGTGTGTCCCAGGGCCCCTTCAAAGGTGAAGCGGGAAATACGGCCGCCAACCGAGAAGTTCGGCGGCGAATGGGGGATTTTTCTTGGGCGCATGGAGAATCGATGGTTTGGGAGGCGAACGGGCAAACCTTCCAGAACCCAGCGATGATGTTTTGGGGTCGAGCGAGGAGATCGAGGATGCTTGCGGCGCATCACCGCCGCCCCCTGCTTTTTTGAAAGCGCCGATGTGGCCGAAAGATGGCCTAGAGCTATCGGACCATGTGTTCCCCCAGTTGTAGTGGGAACCTTTCGGAGAACACGTGAGGAAGAGGGGAATGATAAGACGACGAAGAAGAAGCATAAGAGATAAGAGAGGAGGAGGAGGAGGAGGAGGAGGAGGAGGAGGAGGAGGAGAGGAAGGGGAGGAGGAGGGGGAGGAGGAGGAGGAGGATGAGGAGGAGGAGGAGGAGGTGTGGTGTGGTGTGGTGGGACGGTGACATGGGACCTGGGTCCGCGTTCACGCCTGCCTGAGCTATCTCCTACCCCTCCTCGGGAGGGGGAGGGCAGCTGGGAGGGGGCCCGGCCTCGAAGAAGCCGGAGAAAGACATGGCGCCCGACCAGGGCGCGCGCCGCCTGTGCGCCTCGGCCCTCTTGGCCTCGCGGCGGCGGCGGGCCTCGGCGCGCTTGGCGGCGATGAGGTCCAACTGCTCTCCCGTGAGGGGGGGCGGCCGCGGGGGCGAGGGAGGCAAAGGAGGCCGAGGGGGAGAGACGGGAAGGGAGGGGCAGAGCCCCAGCAAATTCTCAGCCTCTAGCTCCTCATCCGATCCTGGTTCATGCATGGGAATATTCATGCTGGGGCTGTCAGGAGCAGGAGTCGGAGCTGGGGTGGTAGCCGGAGTCGGAGCACATATGGGGCCCGTGGGAGTCTCACTGGGATCTTCCTGGAACCTGTGCATCTCTGGGTCGGCTCTCTGCATCTTAGTCATTCCTGCTGCGAAATCTGGTGCAGGCTCGAAGTCCACACCTATCTCTGGCAGGTAAAACTTGCATAAGTCGGCGCACAGCGCGCTCTCGTCGAATTGCTGCTCATCGTTGTCAGCATCTGCATAAACACTCTGGATGGAGGCTGCAATGGCTGCTGCTAGACGTGCACACATCTGCTCTGGATATGTTTTCTTAGCATGCGTCTTAAAGACCTTGCGTCCTCCAACAAGTTCCTTCCCCTGCAGTATTTTGTGCACTCCTCTCCCGTGGTGACACCAGCCATTGCCTGGGCCCTCGCACAGGCGTCGTCGCAAACATGGCATCCTCCGAGGAGACGCGTGGGAGCTCTGCCAAACTCCGCTGGGTCTCGATCTGTCGGCTGCAACGTGCATTGGTCAAAGTCGGCCGTGATCGTGATGGGGGCTGAGGCTAGGAGCTGCTGGGGGCCTCTGGCAGGAGGAGGAGGGAGGAGGAGGGAGGAGGAGGGAGGAGGAGGAGGAGAGGAGGAGGCGAAAGAGGAAGGCGGAGGAGAGGAGGAGGAGGGAGGAGGAGGGAGGAGGGAGGAGGAGGAGGAGAGGAGGAGGAGGAGGAAAAGGAGTAGGAGGA